AAACCGAACAGAAGAAGTGCTGGAGAGTACAGGAGTTCCAGACATGATCCGGAGTTCTTCCGAGTCTCGTGGGAATTATGCAATCTTCCACATCTGAGTGGAACTCTGACGGACTCACAACTCATGTGAGCCCACCCGGGAGGTGAACGTGTGTCGAACAAGTACCGTCACTACTTCGGACGATTCACAGCTGTTCCTACGGAGACGCTGAAAGGGTGCGTTAAATGGAACTCCGTACCAGTGGAGACATCTCCTACAGGTAAAGAGTCGATTTACACTACCTAAGTGTACCGAGGAGGAAGCTGAGATCTTAACGGAGCGTGCCGTTCTGATACCGACACATTTCCCTCATCCATCTTTTCCTCTCCATTTAAACTTCATTTCCATCTTTAAACTCTTATACCTTGCCAGAAATCATCCAGATAATTTCAGAAATGTCTGTTGGTTTAAAGCAAGGGAAATCATGGCCGTATGGTTTCCTAGTTGTAAAGCTTGCTAATTAATTATGTTGTTGTTGAAATCAATTTGCCAAATTAATGTAAATGTTTGATGTTAAACTTTGATTCTGTTAATAAATGACCGCATTCATTTGATGGGTCAAAGAAAATTAACGTCTCACGTCACATTTAATTTCAATGCACGATATTATTCAGTCCAGAAAAATGAATGAATCCATTTAATCTATGGATAATATATCACAGATATATGTTCCTCTACACGAGGAACTCACTGGAACCATTCAAAGAAACAAGTAGAATTTTGTTTTTCTGTACAACGTGTCACAGCAGATTCTAAAAGCAATGATTTGTTTTTTCAAAATCACAAAAAAAAATTCAACAAATGTAAATGGACTTTTCTATCTTATCAAGATACTCAAAGCTCTTTACAACAATCTGTGCCTCATTTACCCGTTCATACAGCTCTAAACTAGATCTACACAAAGCTAAGTGAACAAATCATTGTAAAGAGACTAATCAGATCTTTGTCACATTCATACACTGATGGGACACACATCGGAGGCAATGAGGGGTTCAGTGTCTTGCCCAGGGACACTTCGGCACGTGACTGCTGGTTGATTCGAACCCCCAACTCTTGCACTGGAGGATGACTGCTCTAACCACTGAGCCACAGCCGTCCCTATAAGAAAAGTTCTAATGTATTTACTTACATGGCCCATCTGGTGCCATATTCTGATAGTTGCGTGTTTGCAGGATAATAAAAATCAAACTTCTGGTTTGCTCATTTTTTTATTCTCACTGAAACATCATTTCTGATAAAAAAAAAAAATCCTAGAATGTAAGATTTATATTGCGCTTGGTTTGTATTTGGAGTTGGTTGATTTCATTGTGGTTGTGGGCGAGTGTTGGACAAACAGTTGGAGCAGATGAAAACCTTTGGACTCAGCGGGATCAGCTGCTTCCACATGATCCCAGACGATCCATGTCAAACATCCTGATCGTCACACATAAACCTCATGAAGTGAGCAAATTAAGGAAGTGCCAAACCGTTTCTTTGTGAGCTGTTACGTCCATAAAAACACAGAACTCAAATATATTTGAATAATACTGACCTACAAAATAAAAGTCAAAAGTAATTTCTGTGACTAAATCTTAAATTAAAAAAAATTTTTTTTTTTACTAAATATCATCCCAAATTCAGCTTTGACCCCAAAATAAGTATATTTTTGGGTAAATAAAAGTATTTTAACAGAAGAGGTGTCATAAAAAATGTTTCTGACTTGTCCCGCCATCAGGGCACTGTCTAAACTGCTGTATGTCCAATAAACGTTTTTCATCCATCCATCCATTTTCTTATGCTTATCCGGGGTCGGGTCGCGGGGCAGGCTAGGAAGGCACACTTCCCTCTCCCCAGCCACTTGGGCCAGCTCCTCCGGGGGAATCCCAAGGCGTTCCCAGGCCAGCTGAGAAACATAGTCCCTCCAGTGTGTCCTGGGTCTTCCTCTGGGTCTCCTCCCGGTGGGACGTGTCTGGAACACCTCACCAGGGAGGCGTCCAGGAGGCATCCTAACCACAGATGAGGGTAGGAACGTAGATTGATCGGTAAATTGAGAGCTTCACCTTTTGACTCAGCTCTCTCTTCACCATGACAGACCTTCACCTCACTGCAGATGCTGCACCTATCCGCCTATCAATCTCATGCTCCATTATTCCCTCATTTGTGAACAAGACCCCAAGATACTTGAACTCCTCCACTTGGGGTAGGACCTCCTCCCCGACCTGGAGAGGGCACTCTACCCTTTTCCAGCTCAGATTTGGAGGAACTGATTTTCATCCCGGCCCCATCACACAGCTGTGAACCGCTCCAGCGAAAGCTGTAGATCACGACCTGATGAAGCCAATAGGACCACATCATCTGCAAAAAGCAAAGAAGCAATCTTAAGGCCACCAAAACGGATCCCCTAAACACCTTGGCTGCGCCTAGAAATTCTGTCCATAAAAGTTATGAACAGAATTGGTGACAACGGGCAACCTTGGCGGAGTCCAACTCTGACTGGGAACGAGCCCGACTTACTGCCGGCAATGCGGACCAGGCTCTGACCGGTTGTACAGGGACCTAACAGCCCATATCAAAGGGCCCGGTACCCCATACTCCCAGAGTACCACCCACAGGGCTCCCCAAGGGACGCGGTCGAACGCCTTCTCCAAGTCCACAAAGCACATGTAGACTGGTTGGGCAAACTCCCACGCACCCTCCAGGACCCTGCTGAGGGTGTAGAGCTGGTCCAGTGTTCCACGACCAGGCGAAAACCGCACTGCTCCTCCTGAATCCGAGGTTCGACTATCCGACGGACCCTCCTCTCCAGAACCCCCGAATAGACCTTACTAGGGAGACTTAAGAGCGTGATCCCCCTGTAGTTGGAACACACTCTACAGTCCCCCTTTTTGAATAGGGGGACCACCACCCCAGTCTGCCAATCCAGGGGAACTGCCCTCGATGTCCACACAATAATGCAGAGACGTGTAAGCCGACACAACCCTACAACATCCAGAGCCTTAAGGAACTCCGGACGAGTCTCATCCACCCCTGGGGCCCTGCAACCGAGGAGCTTTTTAACCATATCGGTGGTTAAAAAAACAATAAAAGTTTTTAAAAAATGTAATTATTTTAACCTTACACACATCATCATCATCATTTATCAGGTCTCTCTTGTAAATGAGTCCTCGAGGCTCAATGGGATTTACCTGTCTAAATAAAGGTTGAATCATGAATACAGAATGTTGGACAAAATTGTGAATCTTGGGACATTTTCTGTTTGAATAACGTGCAACGTATTAAAACACAATCTCACAACTGAGGAAAAACATGTTGGAATCTGATTGTTTGCAGAAACAGTGCCATTGAGGGTTTTATTGAAATTCTTGATCTAAAATCGATTACCTTTTGAAATCAGTCTGATTTAGGATGGCTGCCACAGCTAATGACACTTAGTCAACACACAAGTGCTATAAATTTGTCAGTTTTAAAGATATTGAGCTTAAGTTTGGTGTGGTAGTAGCTGAGAGTCATCCTCAGCACCATACTCTAAATGCTAATAGATCAATTTAGATTCAAAACTTTGACAAACAACGTGGCAAAAGACATGCGGTTCCTATTTTTTTGTTTTTCAGAAGAGAAAATAAAGATACCTCATATGGAATTGAAAAGACTGTGTGGCAATAATAAAGTGTATGGTTCAGACATCTTAACTCAGGTTCAGTAGAAATAAATGATATCTCAGTGATTTTCACCATCAGCCTTCTGATATTATGTTTGTGTTTTAACCTTTTTTAAATAAGACAAAAAAAAAAGAGAATTAAAGAGGATCAAACATCAACTATGATGGAGTATTAGGGCTAAGAAAAAAATTACAAATGAAAATAAAATCATAGTATTATGAGAATAAAGTCAAAATAATATGAGAATAAAGTCATAGTATTACGAGAATAAAGTAGAAACAGTATGAGAATAAAGTCATAATATTATGAAAATAAAAGTGTAATATGGCCAGAATAAAGTTATAATATTATCAGAACTCCGACAGGAAAAATCAGTCTTACAACTGCAGTAAATTGATGAATGTTGACGTCGGCAGTACAACAGCAGAGGGACCAACACACTGTGGCATATGGGTTCTTATGATAAACTGAAGCCGTAGGGTAATGTAATGAATTGACGGATTTAGTCATGACATAATGTGGATTGTGGCATATTTCACAAACTGTGACACAAAAGGGATCACGGACTACTTCATAAACACAGTGACTCACATTGGAGGCTGTCCACAGCAGTGGTGGCTGGTGGAGTTTTCTCCGGAGTGTGGGGGTGTGGGGCTATAACTCCAAAATAGACACACACACACACACACAGACACACACACGCACACGCACACACACACGCACACGCACACACACGCACACACACACACCCACACACATATATATATACGTAATATTACGACTTTATTCTCGTAATATTACGACTTTATTCCCGTAATATTTCAACTTTATTCTCGTAATATTGAGACTTTATTCTTGTAATATTTCAACTTTATTCTCGTACGACTTTATTCTCATAATATTACGACTTTATTCCCGTAATATTTCAACTTTATTCTCATACGACTTTATTTTCACCATTTTAAGACTTTTTTTCTCCGAATGTAATTTTTCTTTTCTTAGCGTGGCCCTAATACTCTGTCGTAATAAACAGCACTGATACAAAACGTTGGAAAAATCTGAAATGCATAAAGAAGAAACAGATACGTTTTATAGATGCAAGACAAAAATCTAAGAGGAGAACAAGCAAAAAAAGCAAACAGCAAAAAAAGAAAAGGAAGAAAAAGAAAAAGTTTCACGTTGTTTCAGATGTTCTGCTGCTGTCGGCCACTGAGCGTGGGAGGGAGTTGACTGTCTGGTGAGCTCTGCTGGTTCAAAGGTCACAGCTGGGTCAACATGAGTTCACGTCACCTGAAAACCCTGTGGTCTGAGTGCAGCGTTGTGTGTGTGTGTGTGTGTGTGTGTGTGTGTGGGGGGGGGGGGCAGGATGAGGGGAGAGGCAGGTGACGTCAGAGTTCCTGTGGACGCTCTCAAAATAAAACTCTCAGGAATAGATGGTGATGACTTCTCGACCTCCTCCACGTACAAGGAGAACCCTGTTGAGGCCTTCAGTGAGCACCTCGAGGAACTCCATGTCTGAGAGATGTCCAGAGTGAAGGATCAAGACTTGTTGTTGTCAACACGCACAACGGTACAATATTTAAATCTCTCCTAGTTCAAAACACTTTTTGTCTGTTCATTCAAGGATACAGTTTTCATCGCCCACCCGGTTCTTTGGTGGTCCCGGCATGTTGAGCAAGACAAGCTTTGCCTCCTTGGACTTTTTTTTGATGACCTCATTGAGCCGCATGGCTGTGTGCATACGCCTCACGTCCACCTGGTTTCTGAAACATTACAGGAAATGTTCTATCACGACTGATTTGATTCATAAAGCTGCTTTTTGTGTTGCTAAAACAAGGAAGAAATACAAAATATTCATACTTACAAGTTCTCCCATTCACTGCAGCACAATTGGGGTAAAACAAAACTGAGTGAAGGTGCATCTACTGGTGGTTAATTGGTTTATTTTCAGTAACATGGCATATGTTCCCATGAAACACAAGGCTTTAAATGAAATGTTCGATTGTAATGTCAACGGCATGGGAAAAAGGACAGCTGCTAATGAAGCAATAAACAACCAGATTATTATTCCTCTTTCAGATGTTATTAGCACTCATACATGTTCCTGTATGTTTGTTTGCTCGCTCACAACAAAACCCAAGTGTAAAATGTTTATCATTTCCTGTTGCAAAAAGGAGAGGATAAACATTTTAGCTACAAATTAGATCACGTTCTTAAAATGGAAAATATACCGAGCTGGAACTGAAAGATTCTTCTGTTCTGTCTTTCTGTCTCTAAATATTCTCACACTGTTTACAGTCTGTGGTTGTGACTGGATAATTAATTTTACTGTTTGATAAAAAAAATAAAAAAATACAATAAATGGCAGAGCATTCATTGAGGGGATGCATATTGCCAGCAGCCTCACTGAAGGTTTAAATCATGATCATCATTTTGGGCAGGAACAGACTGGGATGTGTTGAGTGGTGGCTTTTAGATCCATCAGGAAAACTGACTGAGGTTTAGGGATTTTTGCATTTTCTAATGCCAGGTGGTCACGATGGCCATGTTAAACTGGGAACCCTCCAAAAGTTGATCAGTTGTAGATAACCAGTGATTAATTAGTGGTCACTTCCATTAAAACCCATCAAGTGGTTCACAAGATATTTTGATAAAGCTTTTTGCCATTGGGTGATAACTGTAAATACTAGTTGTGTACATGCAAAATACATTAAACGTGATGTTGTTCTTTCAGCTGCCCAGGGGTCCCCACAGCGAGTGATCCTGAATAAAATATTTGGCAACTGTTTTACGCCAGATGCCCTTCCTGACATGATTGACCACCAAGCTACTGGGGCTTAAATTACTTTGAGTAATTGGGAATATAAAAACGCCTTTAAAACCCACAGACGTGCTTCTTTTTTCCAAGGAGAACAAGCGTTCAGCAAAAAAAAAAACCATTTATTTGTTGCTCCACAAGAGTTCATATTTTGTATGACACTCTGCCTATCACAAGACGTGTTATATTCTTTTATTTATTTTTTATGTCAGTGCATTGCTCTTTAATCAATCAACCTTTATTTATACAGGTAAATCCCATTGAGCCTCGAGGACTCATTTACAAGAGAGACCTGATTTCAACAAAGAAAGATGACAACAATGGACAACAGCAACAACAATAAGCAATTATAAAAACTCATACTACAGTTTTTTTTTTGTTTTTTTTTTTAACAAATAGGATGGCTAAAAGGAAAAAGGTAACAAAACCAAAAAAACAGCTAGATTCCGAGACAAATGTATAAAACTAAAAACAGGAACATGTCAGCATTGGACCCTGCCAGGAGTCCAACAGATTCTTAAAGCCACTTAGAGAGGTCAAGGTCGAGAGCTTCAAATCTTTTTGTAAGATATTCCAGGAAACAGGAGCGGAGTAGGAGAAGGCCCTTTTGCCTAGTTCAGTCCTCACTGAGGGAACACTGCAGGTAATGATGTCCTGAGAGCGCACTCCGTAGCTGCACTCACGCAGAGACATGTAGGAGGAGATGTATGAAGGCAGCAGACCAAGAAGTGATTTAAAGATGAAAATGTACCAGTGAGAGAGTCTGCGTGAAGTTAATGATGTCCAGTTAACCAGTGAATACAGGGTGCAGTGGTGGGTACGATAATCACAGCCAGTTATGAATCTTAGTGCACCATGATAGACAGCATCCAACATCTGCAGGGTTCTTGTAGGAGCGTTCATGTAAATAATATCACCAAAATCAATGGAGGGAAGGAAAGTCACAGATACAAGGCGTTTTCTAGCATTCAGGGTTAGACAGGATCTGTTTCTGAAAAAGAAACCCAGTTTAATTTTCAGTTTCTTTACCAAGTTTTCCACATGGAGCTTAAAAGAAAGATGTGAGTCGACCAAGATACCCAAATATTTATAGGAATCAACAAACTCAATGGGGACACCATTTGAGGATAAAATCGGAGGAAGAACTGCTGGGACCAACTTCCTATTTGAAAAAAGCATCCCTTTGGTTTTTTCGGCATTTAGGACAAGTTTGAGGTGAAACAAATCAGTCTGGATGTAGTTAAATGCAGATTTCAGAAGCTGGAAAGCCTTAGCAACTGTTTTAGCTCGACAATAAACAACTGTGTCATCAGCATAGAAATGTATGGATGCATTAGGGATGTTTTTACCTACATTATGTATGTAGATTGTAAAGAGGGTGGGTCCTAAGACTGAGCCTTGTGGTACACCATTGTTGACTGTTAAATAACTGGAGGAAGTACCATTATGTTGAACACATTGCCTCCGGTCTGAAAGATAGTTAGAGAACCAACCAATGGTGTGATCTGAGAAACCGAGTTCTGAGAGTTTATGACACAAGATGTTATGATCCACAGTGTCAAAAGCTTTAGACAGGTCTAAGAAAAGTGCAGCACAATAATCCTTAGCATCCAGTGCTTCAACAACGTCGTTAAGAACCTTCAGTGAAGCAGTGGTTGTGCTGTGTTGTTTCCTGAAACCAGATTGATGTGGAGGTAAGATGTTAAATGAGTCCAGGTAATTTTTGATTTGAGAGTTTATCAGTTTTTCTAGAACCTTGGCTAAAATGCAGAGTTTAGAGATTGGTCGATAGTTGTTCAGTGAGGTGGGGTCACCTCCCTTCAGCAAAGGAAGAACAAAGGCTGTTTTCCAAGTGTCTGGGATGGAGTTTTGTCTTATGGAGAGATTGAAGATGTGGGTCACAGGGACTGTGATGATATGAGCAGCCAGCCTTAAGAAATAAGGTGGAAGTTCATCTGGACCTGCAGATTTTTTAGGATCAAGATCTTTTAACAGTTTATTGACCTCACTGACTGAGAATGGAGAAAAAGAGAAGGTGTGATTAACTGAGGATTGACTTGTAGGAGGGATTTGATTTGTAGAAGTTTGGTTATTAAGTGAAGTGGCTGATTTTCCATTAGTTACTGTGTCAAATAAAGAACCAGAAGCAACAAAATGTTTGTTGAGACAGTTCAGGATCTCGTGCTTATTTGACACAGGAACAGAGTTAACGAGAAGTTGTGATGGGAGGTCAGATGATTGGGGGGTGCCTGAGAGAGATTTAATTGTTTTCCAGAATCTGTTGGGGTCATTTAGATTTTTGGAGGTCTGAGATAAGAAATAGTTTCGTTTTGCTGCTTTGACAGCAGTTGTACATTTATTCCTCATCTGTCGGAAACTCAACCAAAGACAGGACTAATGGTTTAAAGGCCCAAATATTTCCAGCTGTGCCATGTTTCTGACTTACGGCTTCATGCTAAGTAGCTCTCTTCCTCCATCTGGTGTCACCGCTGAAAGGATTTTCCCTTTTTCTGTATTGTTGCCATCTGACCAGGTGGCAGCGCCTCCTGCAGAGGAGGCAGCAGGAGAGATGAGGGCCGAGGGCTTGGAGGTCTTCTTGTTGTGGATCAGCTGCACCTGTTTTGGGTTGGAGACAGCCTCAGACTGAGGGACAAACACGTGACGTGACAGTATGATGGGGTGAAAGATCGAAAAGAGACACCTGTCAGCAAAGATGTCAGAGAGAATTCAGCATGCAGCTCACAGGAGAACGAGGGGAAACTGCTGCTGCTTTTGAGACAGTAGAAATCAAAGGACAGAGGCACACAAGGGATGGAGAGAGCTTTGTGAACTCTCCAAAGGGATTACCTTATCGTCTGATTTCTCCGCCAGGTTGCCGCCCTCGTCTGTGCTATGCTGGGGCTTCAAGGTGGATGGGTTTTTACGACGAATGGACCCACGGGATGAATCTGTAATACTCTGGATCTGTAAAAATAAAAGGAGAAACCTAATTTGATTTTTAATTTCCCTCAGGAGTTAGTTTTATCTCGTTTTTCTCCAAATAAACAAGTCCAGACACAGACAACCTCCTCATGAACCAGTCGCTTGATAATGAAAATGCTAAAAACGAGAGCCACCCGTTTTTAATTTACCTCTCTCTCCATTTCATTCTTGGTCAGATGCATCTGTTTGAGGATCTGCGACCGTTGTTCCATGAGCAGCGTCTTCTCATACGTGTAAGCTGAGATGTCACCGTCATGCTTTAAGACAAAAACACATTTTGAATGAATTAAGTGTATGCTTAGCCCTAAAATATATGCATTCTATCAATTTGAAGCGAAGCTCTGGTCTATGGAAGAAGCAATGGCTGTGTCGGACACATCTCGTACCATCTCCACCACCTCCACAGCAGCATCGATGCGCAGGTGGTAGAGGAAGGTGATGAGGTCTTTCTTCATCTGGATGCTGTTGTCATCCATTTGTGCTACGGTAAAAATGCGCATCTTACACTTCCTCCATACCTGTGGCACAAAACAACCGTCACAAACTCTGAAGACAGAGACACCACACCATCTCAGGCAGAAACAATGCCCTCTGAGTCGTTTCTCACCTTATGCTGACGCAGCAGGAAGGGCAGGAGCATCAACATGCCTCCATCATGGACGATCCACCACACATCTATGTGGCCCTCAGTGAAGCGCTCTCCATTGGATGGATAACTGGAAATGTTCTTAGGGACCAGTAAGGCCAAACTGGCAATAGTAGTTTCTCTGACCATCTCTGAAAAACAGTAGGAGGAATTATGACCTAATGAAGAGCGTGTCTTTAATCAGTTTGTTCAGTTGTTAAAGCTGCAAGCAGAAGAACAAGATGAGCCATCGTGTTTGGCTCGAGTTCTTAATGCTGAAAGTTTACAAGAGACACACCCGCTCAAAAACTCCCGTATATATATGTTGATGCTTTAAATTTCTAAGAACTGCAACAGCGAGTCCTCCTGTGCTCGCTTGCTTCACTCAGCTGGTGCAGGTGGAGGAACGCAGGAGAGCTAGCGGTTCCAGCCATGATGGATGGATGGAAGGATAGATAGAAGGATAGATGGAAGGATAGATGGCGCCGCACCACCCAGGCGAAATGAAGCTGTTTTGATCATTAAATAAATGTATAATAAATGCGACGGGTCAGCGGTGACACATGCGTCTCATATGCCTAAGCGACTTATATATGTTTTTTTTCCTCTTCATGATGTTTTTTTTTGACCGATG